TCGTAGTTGGAGTGGGTCTTGACCCTAATCATCCAAACCAAAATTGCGCTTTTTTGTTCCTCCGATAGGCTCGTTCGTATTGCTTGGCGAAAGCCACAAAGGCAACAATTCCCTCCAAAGTCATTACGTTTCTCACAAACGTTCTGACTCTGCTGACTATATATATGTGCGATCCTCTACACCTCCGGTTTAATTCTGATCCGGATGTACCTATATCGCGAAGAAATGCCTTGTGCTCATACCTACACCGTATAATTTGCAACCCTGGCACTAGATTTCTACTTTCTTCTTCTACACTTCAATAAATAATAATAGATACCCCTCAGCCTCGCATTGCCAGGTCAGAACCACTCCAATGCAAGGATCTCATCACCTTCAAGCTGTGAATGCAAGGCTTCGTTGCCAGCGAGTTGAGGTCGTATGGATTTTCCTCTCAAAAAATACCTCACTGGCAATCCCAACATGCATGTCTGTCACACGTTTATCCGTATCCGCGTCGCCCCCAACGACGGTTATTAAAGTTCAACCCAATGATCTTTCGACGGTTCTTCCAGTCTAACTTAGTCTATCACGTGGACTGACGGTCGAAATCGAAAATTCTGTGGCCGTGTTGTGCGGCCCCACTATGGCTTTCGTCCCCGGCGAGAACTAATTTCTGGCAAGTCGAGCGAGGGTGCCGGTTTTCCAGATGGCGTTCTGGTTGGCACCAGTGCGACCAACATCACACACAACGCAAGGAAGTGGGCTGCTTTCCTCCAACGTCCATCCCCGTCCATCGCACATCCATTGGGGATGAAATAGGGGGCCACGTGCAGCGACAACTTGGGAATCAAGAGGCAGCTCCGCCCTTGATGACTTCAATCACATTTCTCATTTGCACGTATGCAATATACATAAGCAGCTTCTATGGAAAATGTCTCAAAGAGAGGGTGCCATTGTTCAAGTCCCACAGTTAGAGGCGGAATTGAAGTGACTACCACATGGGCGATGAAAATAATACGTGACACCCAAGATGACAAGTGAAGAAGAGGAAACGCAATGGAAGTGATGAGTAGAACAGGGAAGAAAAGACGGGAGGACCGCAATACGCAGCGAAGACGCGAGAATGGGGAGGGTGCAACTTGGGGTGTTATGGAAAAGATAAAAAGGAATTTCCCCTGACGTGGGAAGTCAGAAATGCCTATGATGTGAGCGTGGCGCATTAGTCCTGCACTATCCCTTCGAAAGTTTCTCGAAGTTCGAGGAGATGCTACACATCCTCCTCAGCGGCATCCAGAACAGAGGGGGGGGGGAGGAAGGGGAGATCACGGGCGAATGGCCTGTCGGACATGACGGAGTTTGGAACGTTTATCGGGGAAGTAGTTCGATCCAGTGGAATGGGTGTTTGGGGAATTCAATATCAACATGCGGATGCAAAGGCGCAGATGCGAGGTTGGATGAATGCTGCTTATGGGGTTGCGGTGAGGTGCGGTATGTGCCGCCGCCACATGTCAGAGAAAAAAGCGGGGCCCAGGAAGTTAAAAATGTAATTTGTTTCCAAATACGCAGATGTGGGGTCTGCGAGGGGCGCCGAAATGCGCGCGCAATCACGGCGACTTGACTATTGCACGTCGACAAGGAGGTTACGTTCAAGAATGTACTTTCCTTCCTTGTATTTCTGGGATTGCTCATATGCTTTGTCCTGCCGAAAAACCAAGTTGTGGGCAAAAGGGAAGGAGGAACAGGTGTAGAGACATGCTCACATATTTCCAGCCGAGTATAGTGCCACACTTGCAGCAATAAATGTCTCGCACGGTATGATTGCCCGTAGTCATTTGACGGTCATTCGGTTCCCCTTCGATAACGTTAACCCTGTACACATTGCTCATCAGCGATTGCACAAGCCGAAAGAGCTTCGATCTAGTCCTACACATCTTCAAACAAGTAAGCACGGCCATGCTGGCCATTGAAAGCCTGCATATAGACGGATCAGTTGATCGTACGCAAAGGTGGAGGTCAACGGTGTACTGACCCTGGATATCATGGAATGAATAGTAGTGAGATGAGTGCGGCAGCTTAAGCAACCGTATACGCGGGCACCCGCCAAGTAACGTCTATAACTCATGCCCATGGTGAAAGATACCAAATCTATGTGTATATATGAAGGATTTAGGAGGCGTTCAGCCCAATTGGGATCAAAGTACAAAGCGAGATGGGCAAAGGAAATTGCGAGTATGAATGATGTCGACTTAAATAGCCCGACGGCAATAAACCGTTGGATGAGTCAGATGTGAGAGTGAGAGTGAGAGTGAGAGTAAGAGTAAGACAGAGAGAGTGTGTGCGTGTGTGTAGAAGAAAGGGAAGTGTATTAGTCCGGTTCGGTGAAAGGTGACGGTGGTGTGACTTTGATTCTTCCGGGTGATGGTGATCATGAGCCCCAACTCGCCTCCGCGCCTCCCCCCCTTTTTCCAACTTACTACCCAACATCCTCATTTCATAATTTACTCTACTCATCTCATCATACAAACACGAGCTACTCTCAACATTTGATCATTTTCGTTCTCCGCAGTAAGGAGAGAACTCCGGCCTTAATCGGACATCGCAGCCTTAATCCTTATCGACGCAACGCACAAACGCCGCCTCACGTGAGAATGCTTATTTTGTTTCGTTTCACTCGCCAGGTGTCCTCCAACAGTAGCATCATAGGGAGGTCGTCCGTTAGTCAGAACCCTCGCGACCTTCTGGGAGAGAAGCTCTGGATGCGGTATGGGTCCTTTGGCAAAGCACCGCATCTACGCCTACTATGATGGCAAGATGAGATCAGAGATGAAAAGGCACAACGCTGCTGAGAATGTTCACATCGCCGCTCAAGCCCCTACGACCACCAGTTGGGCGGTCTCAGTTATTTCCGGTGGAGGTGGGTTCGCAGGAGGGGCACCCGTGGGTAAGGGTGCCCGTGTCCAGTCCGGTATGACGTTTGCCGGGGAACGCCCAGCAACGTCACTTTCTTCCGCGGTATCAACTGAGCCTGGATGATCTCCAGTCTCATCCCACTTTTCCCGTGCGACTTCCACACCGCCTGTTTTCAATGCCCTGTATCCGCTTGCTGTAAGCGCTCAAATCATAGGGGTTGGGAACAAGATGTATGTATAACGACGCATACCCTGCCAGTGAGCCACCGACCCAAGCCATCATGGCGGGCGTATACGCTGGAGCCTTTCCTGCGTTGGTACTCCCTCGCGCGTCCGACGGAGGGCCCGGCGAGGGGTTGTTTAGAATGGCAAAGTAAGGAACCAAAGGGCGCAGTATGGAGTAGCGATCGTAAGCCGGCAGCCTGGGCCTACCTGGGCGCATCGGCGGCCGCGCGGATGAGGATGGCGGTGTTGCAATCGCTCGGATGAGTTCTGCGTGCAACCGGGGAATAAATCCGGGAAGCATCGCAGTACCGCCAGTAACAAGAATGGAAGAAGCAAGTGTCTTGCGAAGGTCAACCGGGATCTGCACACGAGATCAGTGGAAGGTAACTCGAGAAAAAGGAATGCTGTACCTTCAGCAAACAATCTAGGATAGTCTCGGCGACGCTACCTTCGTCGACATCACCTCCCTCGAAAAGTACTTCTGAGCCCCGCTCTCGAATCCAACCGGGAACTATAAGGGTGCCATGGCCAGTGCCAGCCTGTTGCGAAGCGGGGGGCAAGACTTTCAAGTGCAAATCTGTCGCCGTCGAGTGACGCATGTACAAATTTGCAAGCGCTTGTAGTTGGTGCTCGCCACGACTCGAAGGCCCAGGTAGGACTTGTGATCGGGAAACAACAGAGAAATCCGAGGAAGCTGGGTCAGCGTTGCTGTCTCGGTCGGGTGAGATGCGAGAGAAGTCTGACTCGGAAGGTGCACTGTCACTGGGAAGTAAGTCGAGGTCCATGGGGTCTTCACCCGGTGGTGACACGATGCCGGAATTCAATGCCATGTCCAACACCTCACCAACAAAGGTGCAGCGAGTTTTTATCTCTTCCAGAACCACATCGGAGAGAACTTCCAAAGGCACCCGATTCGAGCGGGAGGAAGCAGGCATATTAACGGCAGCACTTAGAGACGTTGGTGGTGGAATATAGGTGCCGAAGAGAAGTAAAAGGGCACGTAGATGAGATGTCAGACGTGCGCCCGCCAATGGCGTCGTTCTAATTTGATGGAATAATGGCCGAGAAGAAAATATCTAGAAGGAGGTGAAGGATTTTCGTCAAGGAATTTGATAAAGGGGAAGTGAAATACAGGAAGAGCAGTAGATTCCAATTCTCCGCAGTCTAGAACAAGACCCGTTATGCGGCCTACGGAGAGAAGCGCAAGCAGATGGCTAGAAGCAAACGATATTGATGGAACCTGGTGAGGTGTGAGCCTTTATAAAGGTGGATTATTGAGAATAGGACCTGTAGATTCTCAAAGAGAATTTTGGCAAGGGTGTCCTTCACATGGACGGGCAAGAGAGGGGACTCGATAACGATAACTTTCCTCGACTTTGGATCTGTCAGGAGAGAACTGATCGCATGAGTGTAAAACTGAAGGAATGCAAAAAAAGTACACACTTACTCATGAAAGACAGCTCTGAGATGGGCCTGCAATCGGACAACGAGCACACGATCCTCTTCCTCTCGTTGAATGGTATCCAGAGAACGCTGGAGACTCCACAATGAAGGGACAGAAAAGACTTCACGAGGGCGACCTTCACCACTGAAACCGACTTTCCAGATACGAGAGCCAGGATCGATTACAACGCGGTCTTCTGTGCCATAGAGAGAATGCCTTCGAGTAGTTTGATAATGGGGAGATGCCTGAACCACAGCAGCACGTCCTGTACGAGAACTGCTTGGAGCCCCTGTGAGGGTCGCTGAACCTGGGGCTGAAGGAGATGTCCTCGAACGCGGGGTGGACGGGATGGCAAGGGTAGACATTGCCCAGTTATGGTTGGTCTACGGTCTGTGTGTTGAGTCTGTGTGAAGAAAAAATAAAAATAAAAACAAAAAGAATGCTCGGAGTGAGGGTCGAACTCACGACCTCAGGATTTGATGATCAGCTGATCACTCATATTAATAATATGAGACCTGCGCTCTAACCAACTGAGCCATCCAAGCTTAATCGAACATATTTTAATTCTCTATCTCTATAATAAACAAAACACTAGAAAGTTGTTTGTCGTCTGCTTGTCTGCTTGTCTGCTCCTGCTGCTTTCTGCTTTACTCGTCCCGTTCATCCTTCTGTTCTGTTCTGTTCTGCTCTGTCCCAACACTATTTCCATTCCCTTTTCAAGGTTACTTTCCTTATGCTCAATCTCAAGCGAGGTCCACAAGATCCGATTCTCCCCACCCGAGCTGCAAAGCATCCCAGAACCACGGCATTGTATGGCGACGACCCCACCGCTTCTCAAAACGACGGCCTCTTGTCCCATTGGATCTCAAGTTTTGTAAATTTAACAACTAGGGCAGCATCTGGCATTTTTAGTGAAGGTTCGCTTTTGTTTGTCATCCATCTTTTCTCCTTCGTTCTCTGACTTTTCATTTAGCTTTAAAAAGGCCACTACCTCAACGGTCCTCGTCCTTGCAGCCACAACAAACGAACGCCGTTCCACAACCCTCACCTTTACCTGCCCCATCGAACACTCTCCGTTCTGCGCATATACCTCGTGGAAGATCTCCCAGAATGCGAACGAAAAAATCGCCCCCGCGGTCAGGCTCAGCCAAGCTGGGTAACTCATCCTCACAGCGCTCAACCCCCTCAGCTCTAGCAAGGAAACGCAATTAGCCCCTTCATTACCATCCCTACATTCCCAAAAGGTCTTGGCGGCTGGTCACCTCGACTGTGTGCCCATCCCAGCCCGCGTTCTGGCATGGGACGAATTTCTGACCCCTTACCCGACCCTCCTCACAATCCTGACCCTGGTCCATCGAAGTCCATCACCGCCACCCCTTTGGCGAGTCGTCACTTTCATTTTCGCCCGCCTATTCCTGGTGCCTTTCTCAGCCCTTCTATCGCAACCCCTGCTCAGAAACTAGTAAACGCTCCCCAGACACCGCAAACAGAGCCACGAGCGGAAGCCATGTACAACCCCAAGTACCGTTCCATGGCCCCTCCTCCATCGCCAAACTTACCGCCAATGCCCACTCCACTGCCGCAGCCGCCAGACTCAGGCAATAGCTTTGAGCCGCGACGGTCGTCTACTGCTGCATCCACGACTGCATCGATTTCTACGCTGCCAGCATCCCGAGAGGAGGTGGATGCTGCAATTGTAGCTGTCGAGAAGAAGCTCGCCGGTCGGGTGGCTAAAAAAGTTTTCTCCAGAAAGACTGCACGGCCTCACATATACCAGAGTGCCGTGAGTCTTCACTTTCGCTTCCCTGCTCATGTTTTCACTGTGCACTCACAGCATAGAGCTCGCGTACTTGAGACGAGAAAGGAAGATCAAGGAGCTTTGATAAAGCGCCTGTATGAGCTCGAGCGGGCGCAGGGATATTCTTCTGACTTTCAGACATTCCAAGGTGAGTGATATTGTGTATCCCGATGAGCTTGGGGCTCCATATTATTCTCAGGATACCTAAAGTATCGAGAGATGCTTGATGACCGAGGAATACTGTCCTGTGAGCAACTAGCATTCGGCGGCTCTCGTTTGCTTACTTTGAGGATTAGCCCGCTCACTTACCGACCTCCGGGGAAGGTATCATAATGACGACCATAGGCGATATTCATACGGTGATGTTCGCCGGTCCGTTTCTAACCCGCTGAAATCTCGTTTGACGAGGCGGTAAGCAGAATATCACCCCCGATTTCCTTGAACGTGCCATCCAAAAAGCAAAGGAAACACTCAACGGGTATGTCTTTCACATACGTATAACTTTAGTGCCCATGCTGATGAACGCAGACCCAAACCTCCACCGCCTTTCATCCCGTCTTTCGAGCAACTCCGAATCGCCCGGCGCGACAGGGATGCAGAGATCAACAGTCGCCTCCGCGGACAACCTTTACCTGATTTTCTTTCTCCCGAGGATGATGCTGAAGTTTCAAGACACCTCAAGAAGCGTGGTGTCATCGCCAAAGTGGCAAGGCTGCAGGTCACTGATGCTGATCTCAGTCGCCTGATACCTGGCACATGGTTGAATGACGAGATTATTAACTTCTACGGTCAGCTTATCTTGGAGCGATCGGAGGCTCATCCTAAAAGCAAGGCTGTGATCAATGGCGCAAGATCAGAGAAGAGCACGATCTTGAATGTGCATTACTTCAATTCATTCTTCTTCGAGAAGTTGGCGAGGGAAGGATACGAAAAAGCGCGTCTAGCAAAGTGGACAAAAAAAGTATGGCGGCACGTGCCCTCGCCTTGTAGTTAAGGCGAATCACTGATTATCATTTCTACTGCAGTTTGACCTGTTCTCGAAAGATGTCGCTTTGCTACCTATCAACCACGGCAACTCACATTGGACAGCAGCTACGATCAACTTTCGCCGGCGCCGAATAGAATCGTTTGATAGCATGGGTGTGTGGCGGCAGGACGTCTTTGACGTACGTCCTTTTCTCCACTATGACATTCTCTCTGAGTCCCGCGTTTTAACACATCCTTAGTTACTTCGTGAATATGTCGAGCTCGAACATCTCAACAAGAAAGACAGGCCATTTGACTGGACCGACTGGGTTGACTATTGCCCGCGGGATACCCCTCGGCAAGAGAATGGATACGACTGCGGCGTCTTCACGTGCCAGTTCCTCGAGGCTCTTTCGCGTGGCATGGACTCCCCTTTCAACTTTACGCAGAGGAACATGACGTTCCTTCGTCGGCGCATGATATTGGAGATTATGCGCACCGAACTACTTGGCGGGACATAGTCCTTCCCATTATGAATTTGAGTTACTCCCTTGCAGTGGACTAGATGCTTGTCATGTGGATATCTTTATTTGTCTTGTATGTCTTCTCAATTATCTCTTCCATAACAATGGTTATGCATTGGGTTAGGACCCCCTGGCGGGAGTCGGACAGCAGAGTACACACGTTGAGGTGACTGAGCACACTTAACTTCCGCCATGGTTTTAGTTGGTCAACCTACCTGGCGATGTGTACGGCATTGAGATAGCATGAAAAGAGACGTAGAGCGTACAACGAGGGATAAACAATCAGGAAAGCGTGATAAGGCGAGTGACGGGACTAGCTACCGTCGAAACCACCAGACGATGATAAAAAACCAGAAGACAAAGATGAGAAAGATTATGTACCATAGCCAGCGGCACCCCTGGCGCTCTGCCATGTTGTTCATGCGCCGAAATGTACCAGCGAGGATACCAGACGTTTCGGCGAACGTGTCGTTCTGCCCATCCCAAGCAAGCGATCATTAGTCAGTGTAAATCGACCATAAGTCTGAGACATTCGCGAAAGAGAGGGCCAGTAAGGAGGGGGGGGGGGAGGATAACGCACCATTTGACTGAGCTGGATGGTTGACTCGCGCACCTCATTCCCAATGCCGATTGTAATCTATTTGAAAATATTCGTCAACGGTGCCCGGAAGAGCGCCAAGAAGGCACCCGTGAAAGGAGTGGGGGGGGGGAGAAGGAGGTGAGGTGAAGAAAATTCCTAGTGGATTGACGCACCTCTTTGAGTAGTTTCACCTTGGCACTAAGACCTTCGATGGCATCGTCATTTTGACCCTCGAGGTCATCCGCGAATCGTGCGCCCGCAAAGGCCGCACTATCCGACGAAGGGTTGTGGTATCCCGGGTATGGCGATGAACGTCCTGAGTGGGGTGGTGTTGGGGCGTATGAAGAACCCGTGTCAAGCCCGAGGGCAGCGCGGGATACGCGGTGCCTGTGAAAATAAAGAATAAATGGGTGGGTACGCTTCACTTCGAAGATTAACTAGTTGCCTTTGGTTCATAGTTGTTCGAGTTCGAGTTAGAGTGTGATCATGAGCTTATTGCAAGTTGCAAGATTGGCACAAGATTAATGCATGGCGCGCGCAAGTCGCCAAGTCATTTATTATTTATTTTATTTCATGACCCACGTGACCGACCTGAGCTAACCTAACAAATACATTATAACCAACCTCGCTCTCCAGCACAACCCCGCAAACTGCCCGGCATATACGAAACAAATTCGAATGTTTCACATCGAGGAAGGGGCCAACCGACGGGATGTAGGATCAAAGACGAAAGAAAGAAAGAAGGAAAGAAAAAGAAAAAGAAAAAAGAAAAAAAGACGCTTGGAAGAAGCCCAGCAACAACACAAGCGTCCAATATAATGTATAATTGTATAATGTTAAAGAGGGAGGTAGTAAAACGATGGTGACTGGTATAGAGGTCCGTCGGTAGATCGTACGCAGTATGGACGCACTGCAAGATATTCACACAGGAAATACAAGTTTATGGGAAGAAATGAGGCGAGCATATTTAGTCAATGCTCATCCGGTTGGGTCGCACTGATAATGACGGGTATGCCCTATGGTTTGTGCCTGAACTTGCCTGGTTCCGTGAGACTGAAGATAAAAGGTAAGAGACGGAAACCGAAAAGTATGTTATGATCGACATACTCTGGTCTTTCAGGCCGCGTCCGAAGTTTCGCATGACCATCCATGCGTAGATAAAAGTTATGAGGAGTAGGATGATAGCGATTACAGCTGGGACACGTCAGAGTGGCCATAATGACACTTAACGATGGACCCACCGAATGTAGTGAGTGACTCCCAGACAGGAGCAAATTCTGGTGTGTCTTTCTTGACGACGACCTTGATAAACTAGGCTCAAAAGTTAATGCAGAAAGACATCATGCATTAACATAACGGCCATACCTTGTAAGAAAAATATATCATAGCGCCGACACAACCAGAAAGGAACGAGGCCATCATCCACTTATTCTCATAGCGTGCAGCCAGATGACCCTCTACCAATAAAATAATTGATAGTGGCAAGGCAGCACAAGTGATATAGAACTCCCAAGAGTGGCGGTCTAGCACTAGCCAAGTAAACTGAACGCAGAAACCGACCCAAAAAAAGACGTCAAACTTGACGAGGCATTGGTAGATTTGGTAGACCGCAAACATCTTCTTGATCTGCCGGTTGGCTCCTAGAAATTTGTACACCTTCCAACCAAACTCGTTGTA